GTTCATCCAGCTCTACACCTTGTTATCTCAGATTCTCCAGCATCTGCAGTTCCTGCTATCTCTTAAATTAGCTTGATCTCAGTTTTATTATCAGATTTTCTGTAAGAAATATTTGACATGCAAAAACATTACACAGGAATCTTAAAGAGTGACAGTTAGTTTTTGGGTTTATTGTAGAAAATATATTTAGAAAACATTTTAACTGTAGACCATATAAAGTGATATTATGACAATGTTCCACAATGCATATTAATTGGAGTTTTGTTTTACCAACTCAATTGTAGATGTTATAGATAGCCAGTGTACAGATTCAAGTATTAAGCATGTGTTGCTGGTGTACCATGAATATGATATTGGCTTAATGTATTAGGACTTGCTTGTCCTTGAAAATGACTTGTTGTGATATACCACATTTCCTTCTGAAGGCCAAAATGAACGACTGTTCATGGGTACTTTTTAATATTGTCAGTCATCCATGGATAATGATCTTTTGCAACTCTTCTAGTTGCTCATCTTTAGCAGCTGCTAAATGCAACTGTTCTGATTGGCTCTAGCCAAAGTAAAAAAGATTAATTTGAGAATATCTTCAACTTCTTAGTTTAGAGTAACAGCGTGTAAGTCCAGAGGAATAACTTGGTCTTTGTGTGGTTTGGGTAATCTGCTCTGTGGGATCGTGTTTCAATAACGATCGAGATTGGTGAGTGGTGAAAATCGCCTTTTTATTGAGCATCCGCAGTAGCACATTTCGAGGCGGTGATGGAATCCAAAGTACGGTTTTACAGTAGCGTCTTTATACACAATTCTTACATACCTTACAATTTTAGCACTATGGTGTTGCATAGTTGTATCTATTGTACACAAAAGGTTGTGTGACATCTGTCCTGTGGAAGCAGGAGATGGTATAAGCACTAGCTAAATGCTGGCTATTACTCCTGATGGGATTAGAATATCTTGTCCAGTCTGAGCTTGCAAAATTAAGAGGTGTTAGTCATTTTGTCTTTAAAGTTAGTAATATTAGTAAAAATATTAGACCTATATGATCTAAATAAGTGAGAAATTATACATGTACTAATAAAAATATAGAGGAAATTAAACTGATCTCCCGCAGCTAGTTCATGAGATTTCATTTACTATTACTGGTTTTGACAGTTCTTACACATTCATTAATGCAGTTACACGGAAGCGCTGTTTTGATAGTAAGTTTCTTAAAGAGGGTAGCGACCCTATTTAATATGTATCTAAAAAGTACATACTAGTGGAGGAAACTATTTGATGTCTGCAACCTATTCAGGTCCTGAGAGACAG